GTGTGTGTGTGTGTGTGTGTGTGTGTGTGTGTGTGTGTGTGTGTGTGTGTAAAAGAGATTAAATAATTAAGTATTTTTTTTACTGCGGTTGTGAATAACGAGCTTAAGAATACAAAAAATATGATATACTATGATTCTAAATTTAGAGGAAAGCCGCCTATTGTAAAATAAGCGCCTAATATGAGATAGCGGTGTTTCTGCTAAACTAATAAACGCTATCTATTGGTTCCACCATAAATTTATTGCTCTTGGATTGAAAACTATTGTATTTAGTAGAAAGTTCATTATTAGATCATGCCTATAGTCATTGTAAAAAAAGATTTTAGAATTTGGATATTTTCAAGTTTCATTGAGATGACTTTAAACCTTGTTTATTATTTAATAAATAAATATTTGACAATAAATTCTTCATGTAGTGATAGAGTAAGATCGTACTAATAGAAAAATGTGGGATATATTGAATTGCTTAATTACAAAAGTTAGATTTGATGATCGTAAAGGCGTGAAAATCGTAATATGAGATATCCAGAGTATTTCGAATATGAAATAACTCATGTTCCTATGTCATAGTAAAAATCGTTGCTAAAATATAAATGTATGTACAATAATAAAAAAAACAACCGGAATGAATATCGAGTGCCTATTTCTGCTTGATTCCAACTATCTTAAGACGAGTTCTGCACTGAAAAAAAATATAGTCAGTTTAATAAATATTTAGTTGAATACTTGCCAACTAAATATTTATTAAATATAAAGATATATTTATTTGATACAAGAAATGTTAATTTAATTTAACAATCATTTTTATTGAATAAATATTTATTTACTGTAAGTAAATATTTAGTTGGCAGTATTGAACTAAATATTTATTAAAATTGATTATATTTTCTCAGTGTGAATATAATCTATTGCATGCTTATTTTTTGCGCACGCTGGCTGTGTTCGTTTTGTATTTTAAAAACATTAAATAAAATTTTTTAATTGCAATATTGATATACTGATATACCGATTTTACTATCGATTTCCCGGGGCATCTCATATTAGGAGCACAATTTTTCAACTTTGCGATTTGCTCATTTTTTACATTCCTTTAATTTAAAAAAAGAATTAAATTTGAATTAAATTTTATGTAATATTATCTTACAGCTTATTAAATCCCTTTCCAAATCTATTTTTAATAATCTATTATTTAAAAAAATTTTTTTTAATTCCATAAACTTTTAGCATTTACCGAAAATGAACTCGGTATCTCATAATAGGGGTCTTTCCTCTGTAAGAATATTAGTCGACACGAGCTTTACTTTAAAAAGGATCTTTTCCCAGAAATATCTTCATATATGGTATTTCATAATGTAGAAAATTTTTAAATATCTTGCAGCACACTGCGATTATCACAAATTTTATAGTAAAAATCTTATTTTCAATCCTCTGAGATAGTAAATGAGTTTTCACTGAAAATTTCTATTTGATGTATTATTAATACGAACACACCTGTAACTTCTGTTTTATATTTCTCTAGATATAAACATTCTGGGTGTATTTGCATTAAAAATAAATAAAATATTATTTTCATCATTATATATTTATATTTTGACAACCTGTGTCATTATTTTCGTCAGCGAAATTTTCGCTCGAATTTAATTTAACAATAAAAAGAATGATGATCGCGAAAAGCAACCAACCTCTGTTTAGCCAGGCGTTTCTTCTTCTTGTGCAGCGGTTTCGTCTCGATTATCATTTCTTCGAGCTCGAAGGTGGGATCACAATTTAGGTGATCCTTCGGCGGGGTGAAACGCGGCTTTATCTGCTTGTTCAGCACTTTGTCGAAGTCCAGATCTCTCATCGCTTTCGCCTGCTTCAGTTCTTTCAAGCACGACACTCGGGCACTCGGCGCAAGAGTTAACAAGCGGTCCAGAAGATCACGTATCAACGGGCTCCAGTGTGAGAATACCGGTCTTTCCTCCTGAAAAATGGAATATTCGTATCATATAAGTATTTCTTCTCGTATTTGTCATAAAAATAAAAGTGAGCATAAACATTTGTTGTGAAAGGAGACAATAGGATTCAAGACCTCAAGATCTTCTTTTTATTATATAAAACTATTTCATAAAAAGAGGCATTATTAAATTTTTTTTTTAATAAACTATTGAGAGATAATTCTTCAAGATTAACAATCCTGATTATCTCCAAATAAAAAGACCTAGATTATTTTCATAATCACGAATGTAATTCCAAGATCTTATATATTGAAATACATGATATTTCACGTTGTATATCCCATGTATTTACTTTCGGAATTATTTAGAATTAGAATGTTACATGTTAAAATGCTCGTGTTACGCAAGCGGATGGACGTATAGGGCAGAACACTGTAACACGTCATGGCACGTGTCGTTCCAACGGCGCGCTCATGACAAGTCCTTAATTAATGTTACAGCTGAGACATGTTGTAATCTTAATTAACAGTTAAAACAACATACGTATTACTCAGAATGAATTAAATTAAAAAAATTTACTTGTACTTTGTAACTTCGGACAAGATAGAAAGAGAAAATGAAGAATGTCACGCGACGCACTTTTTTTTATCTCACATCTCAATTAACTTTTTTTTATTTCTTTTGTTATACTTATATCTTACCTTCAAGATTCTCAGAGCCTCCCTGTTGGACGTTGTGGAGTGAAGTGGATACGGTCTTTCCATGGCTAGGGTCTCCCAAGCGAGAATTCCCAGACTCCACCAATCCACCGCGAATCCGTAGCCGAGGACACCATATTCCTCACACGAACACATGTAAATCTCCGGGGCTAATCCGTGTTAAAAAAAAGAAATGCAAGAAAGCATACCGGTCATGTTATTCGCGAGAGCGGCTCCGAGTTTAAAGAAGACACAAAAGATAGATTTGAACTAATGCATGAAAACAAAGGAAGCTCGTTATTCTTTTTGAAATATGACCTTTTTTCTCTAGATATGAATCTCTCTTGATACCGCGCAACATCTTGTTTGATGTGAAGACGCAGCTTTCACTTAAAGATTTCACGAACCTTTTTTTTATTCATAAAGTAAAAGCTGAGAGCATAGCTAAGCATATAAGATGAATAAAGAAGAAACAAGAAGACAACAAGAAGAAAAAACAATCAGCAGAAACAATTTATAAGAATAATAAAATTGACCGCAATTATAAATTATAAACTTGACATGCATTTGTATTAAATATGTATAGAGAGAAATGTGCGTGCATAATTTAAATAATAATATGATATATAGAAAACGATATTGAAATTAATTAAATATATTGAATATATTGTGAAAATAAAAATTAAAATATCGAAATTAAATAATGAAAATAACAAATTAAAATGACGTGATTAAAAATGTAAGTATGTGGAATAAGATAAAATTATGGACGTGAGACTATTCGTTAACATACCTATGTATGGTTTTGTCCCAGACATCGAAGTTGCCAATTGCCCGTTTTCGAGTACAGTAGCAATGTTGAAGTCTGTCACATGGGCGTGGCCTAGACAAGCAAATTATCTTTTATAGTCCGCCATCATAAGCTCATAATTAATTAAATGAAATATTTAAGCGCCTTGAAACATCCCTCTTAAGGAAAGAAAACAGCAATTACACGTAATGATTATCGATTAATATTGAAAAATAGCACTTTTTACTTCGTGAGATAAGTTTAAAATTTTCCTTTCTTTCCTTTCAACAATGAAAAGAGATATATATAATAATGTATACAGCACAAAATAAAAGAATCCAACTTTTATTCTGATTTTTAACTTGTGAAATCTAAATTATAAACTTCCTTCAAAGTTTTTGTAAGCGATATACTTTGTGATTTCATAATGAAACGACACACACAACAAAATTCATTTGATATATTTATATAAAATGTATGGGAAGAGAATTCGTTATATTTAGATTTTTGGAAAACAAAGTCTCTTTGATTATACAAAAATACCATGCTATTTGCCTTATTATAGCTGCCTTTTTGAATATCAGAATGAAAACCAAAGTCAACAGAGACATAAAAAACAAAGTCAACAGAGGACACAAAATGCAGATTTTACCAATGTTATCAAAACCTTGTTGATCAATGTTATTAGTAAAATTTAACTGATCAATCTTGCATTTATTGCAACCCAAAACTTAGACTAATATTCACATTTCGTTTTTATTTTAAGATCGTCTTAAGTAATGTCTTAAGTCAGATCGGACTATGCATTGAAGATTGAGATTAAAAAATTAATATTTGACCAATCAAAATAAAATTTTTTTGTTCTTATTAGTCACATTTTCAATCTCAATCTTCACGTGTCTTCAAGTAATCTGATTTAGGAATTATGATGCTAATACTCTGTATTTATGACATCCTACTTAAAAAGTCTTATAAATCAAATAATATAATTAAATATAAGAACTAATTACGAATACAGGCCTTAACATTTTAAATTATACAGATGGCATATAAGTAAAGCATATTTTTCTATATTTCCCAGCTCTCGCTTAAGATATTATAAAAAGATATTATAAAAAGATACGCGGGTATAATAATATGGCAATTAACACGTGTGAATAATACACGTGTGAGTTCGCAATCTTTAGATGTTTCTTGTAGGATGAACGCTTAACGGACTCTAACTATATATCGCATAGCTATATCTATGGTCATCAGAAGACTATTAAGGGATGGATACACACCCAACATACACACACACACACACACGCACACGCACGCGCGCGTAATATTGGTTTTCCAACGCGATATGTCGAAGCTGTCTCGCGTGCACCACGCTATACCCGCAATATTTATCCGTTGCCATTTTCTAAACATCATGTCGACCACAATGTGGCTCGAGCAACGATGTAAACTGAAGAGAGAGAATGAACTCTGACGCACACATCATCGCAATAACACACAATCTCCCTATTGTAATTGAGTTCCATATTTTAGTGCCAAGCACGTGGGTAGTTTGCGTATACATAGGGAAGAATAGCTTCTCTTGTACACGAAGGGATATAAAAATTAACGACTTCTTCTATGGAAAGTAGAATCTTTTCATTGAGGTGATCGTTTATCATTCATTGCTCATCAATAGAAATAAGAAACCGATATTTGTTGGTCGTATAACTTTTTACAATCAATTACTCAATCAATTTATAATTAAAAAATAATAAAGCGTATAACGCTAATAAAATTGTTTAAAATTTGTAAAAGTGGAAGTTATTAGCCATTCAATTTGCTAGAGCGTATGTTTTAAAATGAAACGTTTATTTTTACAGCCACTTTTAAAAGTATAAGCTTTCGATAACAATTTCCGATGGAAACAATCAATATCTATTGCGTTCACTACTCAGTTTTGGTATCGACAGCCGTCTACGGAAATGAAAAACAAGATATATTATTTAAACAACTAGTTCGTGAATAATGTGAGAGATACCTTTCGTTGCAAAACTCACTGACTCGTATATCTTCAAGATAGATTAGAGACGCTCCTTTGGACGTGTTCCCTTAACTTTGACTAGCTCATGAAATGTTTGATGGCTTCAATCTACTAAATTGCCTCTTCCTACTGACATCTCATGATCTCGCGTGCGCGAAATCGTGTCTAGATAAAATTAACGAAATAAATTGCGACGACCGCACCGCAGAATGTGGAAGGAAGTGAGAAGTGGTCTATCATATCTTTACAATTTTGCGCCGTTCGCCATTGTAGTTACGTTTTAGACTTTAATGAAAGTAGTTTCTACGTGATTTTCTCTTTGAAGAACGAAGTTTCATGCGCAAGATGCTAGACTATAGATCAAACTACAGGTTGGCCCTCCGAAGTTCTTAACCGCACCTCATTTTGCTATATTATGCTAAATTACCTCGCTCCCTTAGCTTCCTCAACTACGTAGATATTCTAGATTTATAATTATTTTTAATGATATTGCGATAATGGAATTACGAGCGAGCGAGCAAGTAAAGTGACCTTTAAGAGAAGACTTCGAGAGACTATCGTAAAAGAAAAAGATTTACTCATTAGTTTATTTAATGATTTTCTTTTTAGACAATTATTTAAGAATGCTATCAGGTATATAGTTTTAGCAAAAAATGACAGGAATTAAAAACTTATAGTTTCCATATAAAAATGAAACAGTTCAATAAGATTAATATTTATGTTTAACAACATAATTTTACAGTTAAATTAAAATTTTCTCATTTTATTTAAGTTATTTGTTAAAATCATGTTTGCTTCTTATCAAAATAATTTTTTATTCAGATTCTAAATCGTCGCCAACTTTTTATATTACTTTTATAAATACTTTCCTAAATATAGAAAAATCTATAATATATATATAATGTTTTCATATTTTGTTCAAAAATATATGTAATACATCTTCAATAAATTCCCTCCACAAGGAAATTTCGAGGATATTTTGTCGCAATTCCAATTTCTAGGAAGCATTTTTCACTTTCGATTGATTTCCGAAATCGATTTCTCTTCTCACATAAGTCAAATCGATTGAGACCCGCTCTCCCTGTTATTCGTTATGTCGTCTGGCCTGAATCCACACACGGAACAGCTGTATTTTGTATCGCTTGGTGTCCCTCGGGCGATATTTTCCTCGGCTGAATGGGTCCCACGCTACGCCAGATATGAAAGCCGGGCGATAACAGTAGGGACACACAGTGTGTAATTTTAAATGATGCAGAGGCAATCTCGGGATTCAAACAGCCGTCGGCCAGGTGCAGGAGGAAATTAGGATAACCTTCCTGTTTTCCCTTCTATGGGAATCATAAATGTACGTATCTGCTTTTCACGTCCCTGAGGTACTTCCCGATGAAACAATCGCACTCACCCTTGTCGACCTTTTCTATTAAAGAGGATCCAACCTTCGAGGATACAACTCTTTTTGTTTCGTCATCCCCATTTATTCATCTCGTCTCTCACTCTCGTTATTTTGCCAACGTCAAAGATGGTACAATGTAGCCACATTGTTTGCTATCATTACCGCTACAAGCTTAATTTTCGTTTAACAGAAAATCGATAAGGCAATCGCCCGGACGTAACCAAATATATCATTTTCTAATTACGCTTATGCTAATAGAATTTTCGCGGGTGTCCAAGCGGTGACGGCCTTCGATCGCGCGGCAATCTAATCTGCCTTGCGGATTGCTTTTGCTCTTGCTCTTGATTTGTTTATATTTGTTCGTTTCGTTCGACTAACAAATGTATATAAATCTAAGGAGTCAAGATCTCAAGAGCCCGAGAAATGTCTGTATTATTTAGTTTCTCTCAAGATTTACTCGGCTTTTCCCTTTTATGGCAACTTATGACGAAGTCCTTAATATTTTGACAATAAATCGATATCGGAGAGAAGCAAGGCGGAAAAAATGTCACCGATAATTTCTGAATTCTCGTGCGAGGATGAGAGGCATTTCACATTGATAAAACAAGAGAAAAACACTTCGTCATTCTCAAGAATCTCTGAAAATGAGCGAAATACTGGAGATACGCGAGAGAGTATCAATATCTGGTAAAAAATATATAATAAGGCCTTTCCTTGCTTATTTTATTTATAAAATTTCGTGAGCCGCATTGAGATCCTGAAAGAAACCTTCGAAATCTTATCCCTTAAAGATAACGATATTATTGAACAACATGGACGTATTCAAGATTTAGAGGAAAGAGGGGGAGGGAATTTATCAATTCCGTCACATAAACAGCAATTTTGTACATTAATAAATTGCTTTTTTGGGTATTTTAGAGAGCTTAGATCTCTTTCTCATTCCTCATTTTGAAAATGATTGCAATTTTATATTTTCCTGAAAAAAATATTGAAAAAATACATACAGTTATTAAAACGACAGTGTGTAGTTGTGAATGGAATACCAATCAATCGTACTTCTATTTTCTGGCTCAAAAACTTTGCGAAAATTTTTTTGATATATTGGACACTCTGTCAAAACTCTAACTAATGGAAGTTTCAAAAACTACTTATATCATCGTAATGGAAAAAAAAAATATTTGTAGCAATAAAAAGATATTCAAGAGTCAAAAGTAAAGCTGTATTTTTTATAATAAAAAATGAATAAATGAATATACAAAATTTCGGAATGGATTCTCGAAACTTCCCCTGGATACACCCATGATCGAAAATGAAACTTCTGTAAGGTGTAGGTGTCGATTAGTTTCCGAAGTTCTAGTTGAGAGATAATACTTTAAAATTGTAATTTCAGAAGACTATTAGACTAATAGAAAATCCTTCCTCGAAAGAGCCGCAATTTATTAATTCTGCTTACGAAACAAACATTTGTTAAATCGTTACACTTAGTACGATGTAGGCAGTGCTGTTTCTCGCAGGTAATTTTCGCGCCGCACGCGTCGTCGTAGTATCTTATATCGTCACAATCTATTAAATCCACATTCAGGATATATATTAATCTCATAAGATTAAGGGTGAACGTGATGGGCGGATGAATGGCGCGAGAACGTAGGCGACTGTTAATCCCGCTAAAACCCGCCGATTGCAGCGGCTCGTATTCGCGAATAATCTCATTCGTCGTGTGAGATTCACTCGCCCGAAGGATAATCCGGTTCTTGCTTGGCGTTTTGGAGTAACTGAATCATGGACGCGATTAGAAACGTTTGTCTGTAGTGTCACCGACATTGGTGACCGCTAGATCGGCGCTTGATATGCAAACGAGAGTCAGCATTGGACAAGAGCTTAATTCTAGCTTAATGACAGCTATTTTGAGATTTGCGACGCACCAAACTGACGAATTTACAGAGGAATCGTATGGATGCCTCCCTTTAAATCTTTTTTAAAAATATTTGTTAAACAAAAATAATAATATTATTAATAAAATTAAGAATAACAAATTAAGAATAAAAAATAATATATTTTTAATATTTCTAAAATGCTTAATCACAACATGATACATTCCACATTTTGACATTCCAAAAATATTTTTTAATTTACGAAACCTCCTAGAACATAGATTCTTTTATATTATTCTTTTTTATGTTAATATAATTTTAAATAAAAGATTTTATAAATTTTATATTTAAATAATATTTTTTCAATGTAATAATTTAAATAATAATTTAATATTCTCTCTCTTTTCATATTAAAAAAAAAAATTCATTTATGACTCTCTTTTGATAAATTTCTAAATTCGTCAATGCGAAGTTTTGGTGCTTTAAGTACAAAAATATAGTAAATATTGTAAATGCGAAGAAATAAATTTATCCTTTCTCTCGGGAAATCTCTCGTTTCCTTTTCTATAAATATGTCGAAAAGATTTGCTCTTTCGTTCGATTTATAAACGCGCACGTGCGAAAACTAACTGATCAGATTTAAAGTTTATTTACGTCCACATTCACCGCAGCGGTTAGTCGAGTGCTCATCGCATGTTTACATTGAGTGCAACTTTTGCATTGTGTTAAATGAAACTCGGGATTATGTGACCATTGTTAAAGCCATGACTTGAAATGGTGACAGAGGATGTCGAGTGATTTACTCGCCGTACAGATTACGTCATGTCCTTTTAAATCCTTTCGCGATGATTCTTCTTCTAAAATTCATAATAAACTGTACAGCTTTATTTAATGAACGCATGTAACGCATCGATTTTACACGATATCATAATTAAATCGCAGTTAATTTTGTTAATAATTAATTTTAACAATTACAAGCTCTCTCTCCTATGATAATACCTTTCATGTTATAAATGCAAATGCATATACACGCGGAATTCTCGGAGGTAAAACAATTAAATAATTTACGAATTAAACCTCTAAATTAAATCTACATAAAGTTACAAAGTAAGAGATATTTAGTTGCATTGAGCTTTATCACTTTATGTAAAACGATGCTGCATTACTGCCAGATTTTCGGGGTGTTTTTCCGACATTCCTAGCTAAATAAAAACTTTCAGAAAATCCCATGGCACTTGCGGAATTAAGAAGTTACACTATTTTAAAACTTTGAAAATAGTCGAAAATTTTATTTCGTTTAAAGTTTAATAGTTTATACATATAAAAATATAATCCCATTTGAAATAGAAAATTCAAAATATTTACAAAGTTAGCTGATCCTTTGAAGCGTGCTTCCTTACTTTTTCAAAACGACATTTTTCAAATCGGTATACATCATAACTTTTACAATTTTTATTCGATTTATTTGAAACTTTCAGAAATAACAATTTTACGATTAGTTATGAATTATTATTATTATTAACATTTTTGTGCAAAATTTTTTGGTGATGATTGTTTTTTTTTTCAAACGGTTCATAATTTTTATTAAAAAATATATTTCTAAAAACTCCTATGCACTCCTTTAATAAATGTTATGTAGAAAATAAAAATTCTTGGTCTTTTATTCAAATTGTTTCTTAGTAATTATACGCCGAAAATCAACTTATTTCAATCAACTACAGTATCGCCATTTTCTTTAAAAAAAATTGTTGTATACTTCAATACATGTATAATGAATGTATCTTTATAAACTTTTAATTTACTATATCCATTTTGCACAAAAAATTCTCAAAAATAATCTTTTTTTTGAAGGTTCCAAAGTGTAATCCCTTAAGTTCTCTCGACGAGATTAATTATCTTTATCTGTATTATTTTCTTGCGATCACCGCGGTCGATCACTGCAGCTGGCGCGGATGAAGATAAGGGTTTGAGAGATCATCGACAAACGGAAGAGAGATCATCGACTCACCCTCTTCGTCCAGCAATATATTGTCCGGCTTGATATCTCGATGGATGATCCTATGAGTCTGCAAGTAATCGAGCGCCAGTGCGATTTCTGCCACGAACAGCACAACGCTCTCCTCACCGAACACAATCTCTTGCTGGATATGATATCTCAGGTCGCCGCCCAAAAGTAGATCCGACACCATGAAGAGGTCCTCCTCGTCTGTAACAGGGTGTGACAGACTTTTGATCCTCTCTTTCTACGCACCCCTAAAATTGTTCTTTTTTGTCACAGTCACACGCGTTCGCGAGATGAGAGCGACGCGTGGTTCGTCAAACGGTTGACCGATCAATATTGGCCCAGTACAGTCAAGCACGGAGATGCGTTATTGTCCCGATATTTCACGTACGGAGCCATAAAACCGATTTCAAACAATACGCAATATAAGCGAACTTTCAACAAATAGACGCGCTGCGAAACCGCATGTGAATTTTATGACGCAACGTTTATTAAAAAAAATTAAACAAAATTAAAACAAAACAAAATTATCGAGATTGCTGTCATTTTCCTGGTTTGCGTATAATATCGTTAATCGATATATTTTCGTCGAATCGAGTAATTTACATCGTTCATGAAATTGTAAATTTTATCATCTTGTTTACATAATTTACTGTTTCTTTATTCAATTATATTGCAAGTATTCACGGGGGTTTTGATTAAATCACAAAGATCAAAGTACAATTAAAAACACACTTAAATTACACTTAAAAAGTAATTCAGAGATTAAAATAGAGCTTCTGTTAAAAATTAAACTGCGTTCAATTTATATCCACGTGCTCGTTGATTCGTTTTATATATTTCACGTATTGTTAAATGTGTCACAAAGAGTTATTCGAATAAAACAAATGAAGACAGAAAGCATGATGGCTCAATACGGAGGAAACTTTTAACTTGATTATTCTGGTAGACAGTATAGACACAAGGTATGTGAAATTGTAATCTCAGTAACAGAGATTGTAATCTGCTAATTGTCACACGATAACGATATATTAATGTCTACATCTATATACAATTTTATGCAAAATACCAGAAAATTTTTCAAAATTTATATTATTTATAAAATAAATTATAATAAATTATTATTTATAAATTGTATTATTTATCTAATTATGAACAAAGTGTATAAATAATGTTTCAATATTGAATTCGATTCGGAAAGTATCAAAAATATTAAATTTATGACAAATATTTTTTTACAAATACAATTTCGAGATTATTTCGAAATTATTTCTTGTATTGCTTCTTATTGCTCAATTATTATCGATTTATCACGAGGAGAATCCTAGTAATTTTTTTAATGATTACACTCCGTTATTTAAAAATTAATTTGCGACCTTTCCATCAAAACATTTAACGAAAAAATTCGACAACATAATTTTGTTTTTACAAGTAATATGCGCATTTCGTTTAGAATAATATTTAATATTTATATATAATAGAATTTAATATTTGACCCCACAGAGTTGGCAGACGAACTCTCATTAAAGTCTTCACGGCAACTGGGCGAGCTTTATATTACTCGTTTTTGCATAAATATTTGTATGCACCATCCGTATTCCCGTTGAGAGGACTCAGCTTCTTTCAATATAAAATGCTGTGTGTTTTTGCGAGATAAGCATAATTGTTTAATACGCATTTGTTGACTGGATAAAAGAATTAAAAAAAAAAGACATTGTATCTATAGTTTCAAGATTTGATAACAAGAGTCGTTCATTTTGCATTTTTGTAATATATCCCTTCCTTTTTTAAATAAAAAGAAAATAAAATTTTCCATTGAGATTATAAAAATTAACATACAAGTAAGAAATATTATTTGTTCAATTTCCACAGGAAAGAAAAAATATTGTAATAAATAAATATCGTAATATTAATAAAATAATTAGTAAATTAAAACTTTTTTAAAAATATAAACGTGATTTGAAGAAAAAAATTTAAAATTTAATTATAAAGATATTAAATCGAAGAGTAGAGAAAAATTACAATGTTTATTAAAAACCAATTTAAAGTGTTCAAAGACTCTTTATCCTTTTTATAAATATCCTTTTTATAAATTTATTAACTCCGTAAACGATTTGCTGTCTTTGATCGTTTTCTCGTGAATTTGTCTGATAATTATTCATCGTGTTAATTATCACGATTTTTATTAATTACAATGAAAAGCGATTATTATACTATATACTATATTAATACATAACGATCGAAATATTATAATTTTAGCATTCATTAAAATTCATAGTTATAAATATATACATTATAAATTGTTTTTTACATCGTTCGCTTGTATCTATAAGCAATTTGTTATTAATTTTTCGATAAAAAGCTATTTTCATAAAAAAACCTATTTTAGCCTCAATTTTCATTATTTTTTGGTTATAATTAAAATTTTTTTTTTCTTAACAAAAATATTGTAATATTAATATTTTTCAAATCGCCAACGAATCGAAACAGAGACGAAACGGTAGAAATAAGTAATACAGAATTTATGAAAAAATTTTTCCAAGACCTCAAGAACATCTTTGTATTTTATGTGTTTTCCATGAGATTTAGAAAAATGACTGAGTGTGATCGCTGTCTCAAAAAACTATTTACCTTGGAAGCTGAACCATAAATTCACCAAGCAAGGATGCTCCAACTTCGACAGGATCTCCACCTCCCTTGCCACATTCTTCAGGGCACCACGCTCCGCACATTCGTTTTTATGTACGTATTTCATGGCGTACATATTGCCGGTGCTGTCACGTTTTTGTACAATGCAGACCTGTAGGTAGCAATTGCATTCGAAACTTAATTTCTACAAACTTGACTTCTACGTTAAAACCGTCTACAAGTTTTTTCGAATCGGTGAATTCGATATTCGCGGAGTATTTAATTCTGCAGAATAATAATAAAAAAGAGACAATAAAAAAATCTTCGTTTATTTATCCAGACAGTTGTGGTAAAACTGTAACGTTGATATTTACTATATTTCGTTTTGCATCGCTACGCGTTATTCAAAAGAAAACGTCTCGTATACTACAATTTCTCTGTAAAAAAATCTGGAATAAACTAAAAACAATTTCAAGCAGCAAATTGTCTGACTGCAATTGTCTGTTATAAACATTTAATTCTTACATTTTAATGTTCAAGAATGAGGAGTATTGCGTACTTGCCATAAAAAGTGAGGGAACGAGTTTCGAAATTTTCGCAACGACCTTACTGATAGATATAAAAGCGGCGTGGGACGCGCTTTTTTTTACGATCGAGAGCGTAACGCATTTTATAGCGGCAAATGCAATTCGCGTTTGCCGCGTCCTACATTACGGAACGAATAAATGTGTGTCTGTTGGTCCACGTTCTTTAAATAATATATTTACGCATTCGAAAAGTAACTAATGGACTATGTACGATTCGCGTGAATCAAAAGAAACTAAACTATGTTAATAATAAAAAGAAATCCTACTATTTATTCCCGAGGTTTAAAATGCGATTTCCGTGCGGCTGAAAAGCGACATGTAAATTATTTCACGATTTAATATATTAGCGAGACCGCAGGGAACAGTAGCTTGTTACCATGTATGTAAACACAAAAAAATAACATAGATTGCAGGGATTCCTGTCGGGATAAACGGGAAACTGCAGTCTGGACCGACTCTAAAGTTGAACTCGCAAACAAGGATCGCGAAAATGTTTTATAACGGTAAGCATTCCTTCGTGATTCGGTTGCAAAATAACGACGTACCTTGCCGAAGCTGCCTTTCCCAATGGCGCGTAGGATTTGAAAATGATCGAAATTCACTGCAACAGAGAAAAGTGAATCAATTGAGGTAATGCGAAATGACGAATTTAACGATGGGTAGCACATTGACTCCCTTTCTATTGAAGTGCGATTGGGATGAATATCGTAACGGTTCGCAAAATTATTCGTCATCGTATTTTTGCATTTTTGTAAAATGTTAACTCGGGAGTAGTCATCTCATTTTTTATGTAAATGATCTCTCTCTTTCAGCTGAGGTATTTATATCCCAATTAAAATTACTATTATTAACAAGATACTAAATATTATTGCTTGTTTTCCAATTTATTAGCATATGCATGAAAACATTATGGATATGAATTTTCTCACAATTTCATGAAAAAAATAGAAATTAAACAAATTGTATATTATTGTTTTCCGCTTTATTGACATTTGAGAACATTATGAATATGGGTTTACTCAGAATTTTCTGGAAAAAATAAGTAGAAATCAAACAAATACATTAAATGGAAGCATGTTAGTTTATTCCATTATGATAGTGTTTTTATAAAATAATCATTTTATTAATATAATGATTTTTTATTGCGAATTTTTGATAGAATTGCATATTTAAAGAATAATTTGTAAAGAATAATTATTTAAAAAAAAAGAAAAAAATACAAAAAAAAAGAAAACAATATTCATTTTATAACAATTCACATTTTATTCGGCATTATAGTACAAAAATATCCCTTCAAGTGATTGTTCCCGGATTAAATTCGACGTTCATCGGAATTGGTTCTCGTTAATACTGACATTAGTTTCATCAATAAGTCAATTTCTAAATTGCTAGTGTTTGTTCTCTTTGTGCGAAACATAAAGGTGTTTTATCAGACAACAAACTCGTGATTGTAACTATTAATTAAACTACCACGATTGTGTGAAATGTGACTGTTAATTGAACTATCGCTTTAATAAATGCGAAAATCCCAGTTTTTGACAGAGATTTGTTTGGAAAGTTTATCACTTCCGCGAAAAATTTGGGAGTATTTACAAATGCAGCATCAAAAGCATGCATAAACTACATATCCTCACAGGGATTGATCTCGATGGATGTATAGGCATACAGTTTATATTGCATCAACACGCAGTTCCGGTTTTTTTGAAATAGCCAAACCGCATAACCGGAGAGGCTCAAACAACTTGAGAAATTTCGAGTTTAATCTTCTCCAGATTTGTCTTGCGTGGGAATTATGTTCTCACCACGATAAAGTTAATCAATTTGGAAGTAGAGTTCCTGCAGATTATAATGCAAAAATAAGACTGAGATCTTTTAACAGTGCATGAACTTAATATTAAAAAAGCTTTAAAGAAATTTAAAAATATTAGAGAATTTTTGTAATATTGTTTATCCAGCTACGATGAATGCTAAGATCAGGTTATCTTCTTCTTAACAACTAATTAAGAAAAAGATGATGTGATTTTAGGGTTCACCGTATCTGGATTCACATTGTAAAAACTCTCTAATAAGAGTGTATAATATTAATCCTCAGTATACAAATAAATCTCTATGTATACACAACAGTATTTTATATCCGGCATTTTCTTTTGCTTGTGTTGAGTTGTAATGCATCAATTTTAATTAATTTTTTTTTTAAATCGACTGTTTAAAAACAGAAAAAAAGATTTTTTGAGCAAGGAAGTCAAGCAGTCATAGCGTGAAAGATATTTTGCAATAAGTAAAAAGGGATTGATAAAAAAATATGCAGTTTTGAAAATAAATCAGGTTATTAACTCGTTGTGTCTACTGATGATTAAATTATGTTTATTAGAAGTTACAGAAATTATATTTATTTATAAGTAAGTGTACATTTAAAAAAAAACCGAATACAATAAAAAACATATTTTGTATAAAACATACATTACATTTGTATAAAACATATAAATAGAATTCCATAAAATATAAATATATTAAAAATAAAAGTGAGACTTTGTTTGAAAGTTGTTGACTGACTTGTTAGATGAAAAGATAAAAAAGATAAAATCTATATTTTTAATATTCGTCACAGAAGTTAAATAGAAATCATGCAGAGAAAAAATTGTGGAAGAGACACTTCTTTCTAGAAATTTAATTACAATAGGATTGAATATTGGATTTTTCCAGACGAAATTAAATGTCCGTGGGACCGTCGATACAACCAACAGAAAAGATTTATTAATAGCTTCAGCAACAGCTCGATATTCTGTATCGAATCGTAGGCGAATATTTCCACGCGACGTCGCGCCGTATCGCGTATTTTGTGAGTTATATTGTGAGAGCTTACGATCCCAGCGAGGTATAAACATGATAGAATAAGGTGATCTCCTGTGAAACGATGCAAGTCATCTATGCGTATCCGTTCAGCAAGAATTCAAGTTATGCGAATTATACGATACTAAGCGGAGCGTTATAATTCGGGATGGCATCCCTTTCTAATATTTACATTTTTAATAATGTCTTAATAATAAATATGAATCAAGGACATTTTAATTCTTGCTATAAAAGTAATTCACCTCAATCAGAGTCAAGATCTATAGAAAGTATTTTACTTCAACATATCTTTTTTTTTATCTTTGTTATATAATTATTATTAATTCAATTGCTTCTATTCAATTGTTTCGATCAGCAAACTGCTATCTTTAGCGTGACAATTAATTTCTCCGTCAGTTAAATTTAGGTAAACGCTATAAGGAGATCGCAATAAAAGAATAAGTAAGAATAGTTTTATTAATAACTTAGTTACTTGAAAACTATGTTAACGTTATTTGTATATTTTCCTTCACAGAAAATAGAAAAAAAATTCTTCAAGAATAGAGAGCTAAATTATTCCTTGAACGTGTTTGAAGTCGAGAGTTGCGTCTATTCTTTCCGTTACTTCATAAAATATTGAATTCTACTGCATAGTGTGTGTGCGTGTGCGTGTGTGTGTGTGTGTGTGTGTGTGTGTGTGTGTGTATGCCTACATACGTAACCGAGAGTCAATTCTCAGTATTTCCGCGTAACGTATCCATAGCTCATAAAAGATTCGCGCGTTCTCCACCTCGTAAGCCAGACGGTATTACCTTCTTCTCCGGGGGTGGGCGCGCTCCGGGTCGATTGATTGGCACCCATTTTTCCTCAATAGACGTCGGACGTACTCGTCGGCAACCGTTGTAAGTCGCATCGGTGCAAGCGTACTGCCAACGAAGATGACGGTGAGATCCGGTCGGAGCGGGAAGTCTCATATTTCTGCATTGTCACGGCGCCGCGACGCCTTGTCAGGCGGCCCCACCTTCATCGGACGACGTGCATCATCTTCCACGATCGGAAGACACTGATGAAAGAAAGAAGTGTCGCCGTTACGTGTGGCAAATGGCCTCTCGTTTAATCCGTCAGTCGCTGATCTAGGCGATATCCTCCGGTCAGGTCGAGAGTGGCGGGGCGAATATCGGCGTTAATTAGCAGCCTGCCGCTGCTGATTCGAGCGGCTTAATTAACGGATCGCGCTAACGCGCGGGATAATTGCAAACACCGTCGATGATCCCTGAGTCGACAATGCGGGGCATTTGCTCGTAACACATCGAGTCTTACGACGTGAACGTCGACGACTACTGATCTCTGTAACAGATGTATTCCTGTCATTAATCCTTGTCACTTTAATTAGTTTCGGATGAAACAACAGAGTAATGAACTGTGATGGACGATATATACGAGGTGTTGTCAAATTAGTGGGTATGCTGGATTGATTAGAAGACAAGTCTCACCTAATTAAATCTGATTGTAATTTTTACAAACATGACCTTTAATATTAACTATGTCAACAAGAGCCATTCACGGTTAAACATCAAAGGAGTAATGATAACTCAATCTCTTGAGTTAAATAAAAATAATATTTTGTTATTTTTAACTTCTGTATGTGTCAAATATAAATCAATCTATTTCTATGATTAGTTTCAAGGTAAATGACGTTCATATCATAATGGCATTAGTAAACAATAAATTAAATTTGAATCAAATTTAATACATTTTCTTGTTAAATTATTTAACTCCACTCTGTTTTTAGTAAAATTAAGTAAATTGACAGAAACGATTTATAGAATTTATGATTATATAACTTAAATTAGGTATAATTCGACATTAATAGTGTAATAATGTATAAGAAAAACCCATTTTCTTTATCTATTCGCATTCTTAAAAAGCGTAAAAATGTTAAAAAATTTTTCATGCGTTGAAAATAAATGAAAGAAAGTGTATTTGCATACGGACAACAAAAAATATAAAAATGGAGGAAAGGATCTACAGTAACGGCGATGCAGCCTGATTTTCAAAATGCTGAAGCTATTCCTATCGAATGACAATGGAGAGCTCTTTTGTATGAATGAATTCTGGAGCATTCTCGTAAGTAGTTTCGATTGAGCGAACAATCGCTCGTTTCTGTCTATCAACGAGACAACGGGTTCTCTCTTCGTAACATTGTATCGGCGGATTTCTGTGTATGATTCACCGAGCGAACGGAACGCATAACGTCAATTAACAACGTTGATTAGTTAGCACGGGTAGCAAACGTTGACATATAGGTAACTACCATCCGAAATTGCAGGCATTGCAGCACGAATGGAGATCCATGTGTCATACGCACATGTTGAACACGCGTACTTGATTATTTATATGCTCGATTATGGATCTTCATCTTCGACCTAGTTACGAGTCACGCTCGAAACACGCTTCATTATCTTTTAACACAGAACATAATTATTTTAACTGGGTAATATTAATGCCATAATGAGTAACGCGTTCAATTGTGAATGCGTTAAACAAGCCTGCTATAAAATCAGTTGCGTTGATGGAAGAAGATAAAAGAAGCTTTCGCGTTAAAAAGAACGATATAATTATTCGGAAAGAATGAAATATGTACAATGACAAGTAGCTTTTAAATTACTAATAATTATATAATAACTAAAATATTATATAATATCTGCAATTATTGTATATTTTAGATAATAATTAAATTTTAATTAATAGTTTTAGTTAAATAGTTAAATTATAATTAATAATCTATTAGTTATAAATTTGCAATGTACTGGGTTGTCCGGAAAGTTCGTGCTGATTTTGAAGGAAGATTTGAAGGAAAATGAAACGCAGAAGATTTAAATTTTTAATTTCATTTATTAAATTTAAATCTTTTGCGGCACGAACTTTCCGGACGACCCAATAGTTATATCATACGATTGTGTAATAATAAAATTTCAAATAATTATTAATAATACGAAGTTACGAATTTATATTATACTTGTCATCCTCATATAATGCTCGTGTACCAAGGAAACTTTCTTTCCATTCGGAAGGGTCCAGATATGATTACCGCTACAACGAAGAAGTGTCATATTATATTCGCCGAAGATGAATCGAGCTTATTAGGATCGTCGTATACGGGAAAAGTACGCGAAAAAGTACTCGAGATCGAATTTAGCGACGAGTGCGAGGATATTAAATTTATATCGTAAGAGACATGTCGGATGCGAGGAACGTGACGCCGTTCGCACCATTACATATGTGTTCTTCGAGGTGTTATGTGTGATGCTGAAGCTTCGGTGTCGGTGCGTTTCACATTACTTGGTGCAGGGCCACTCATGTGCACTATGTCTTTGTGAAGTCCTTACTATAACCCGTCATTAGACAAACGAGTCGCGAACCGTAATAGCTTTTTGAGATTATGACATCGCCATTTTCGTATCCATTCTCATTTCATTTTTCCTTTATTCGTCAGATAAACAATTATAATCTCGATATGATCAATATTGACAACAATGCAGCGTATTAACGGATAACAAATCTAAATTACTTCTTGGTCTCTTGGTTTTAACGCACGGAAATGCTAAAACGCCACTTACAAACAGATTCACGTCATCATTTGTATTCATAATGTCTTGCTATTCATAATTGGACTATAATTTCATCTGCGGAATCTGGATTATGAAAAAAATGTAGAAAAAAACTGAAGTCTGACGGATATCGGAAAATTATTATCGTTTAATGCGACTGTAGACTGATTACAGGTTTGCAACTGAGGATAAGTTTTTATTTCTTTTTTTATTTCAAGGAAACAAAATTAACATTTAGAGCGTTCATAAAAGAATGTAAAAAGTTTTTCTGCAGCCTCCAAACAAAAACGTCGAGGAAAACTTTCCATTACAGATAGGCAAACTTCTCCCATGACGGAGTTTTCTTATCGTCGGCAACATCGAGGTTGTCGAATAAACGTTAGAGTGAATGAATTCCTCGTGTACATATCTCGACATTTTCGTTCGATCTCGACTGGTGATGTTAGTTCGGAATACACATTTGTCGAGACATACATCATCTATTCATCCATCATGCTTACTTTACCATCATGTTTTATCAATAAAAGGAACGTGGCGGCGTGTGTTTTAACAAAACATCGTGATGCTCGACATTGTCAAATGTAAGGCAAAAACCTCTTTAAGAGATAAATCAAGACGAAGAAAAAATAGCTGTATTAAATATTAAATATTTGTCAGTAAAACATTGAAAAATATAAAAATGGAAATGACAATTCTATAAATTTCGAGAATATCACTTAGCGTCATTATCCGTAATATCCAAAGCTCTTCGATTATCACTAAATTATTGTTAATTAAATGAGTTTTGAAATGTCAAAGGTTCACTCTTGTTCCTCCATCCACTTTATTTAATTTATATACTAATTTACAAGTAAGCTTTGCGAGAGTGAGTTTCGCTGTACTCACGTGACTTTTTAACATCAATAATCGCGCAATATGGAAACGCAATGAAGTTTGAATAACAACTTTTGTGGCAAAAAAGATGTTTCCTTTTATTTGACAATATACATTTCGACGTATAGCGCGTAGCGAGATCGAGGCAAATTTTAACTGCTCTCGTTAAAAATTGAATAAAAAATCTGCTAAACTTTGATCTCCACTCGGACGACTTTCGATTTGTTATCTTCAAAGGTAGGATCCAAACTTTACGAATAAGTGCTGATAAAAAAAGGTGTATCATTTATTATCGTGTATGATGGAGAAAGAATGATGAAAAAGGGAGAATATTAATTGTTATATTATAATATGCTTCGTGAACAAAAGTTTTACACCTTTCAGCATCATATCTCAAGAACTATTTAACATCATAACTCAAGAACTATTTATCATTTGAGCCATATTGTATATGACATTTTTGTTCACTATATTTATAAATAATAATATATAAAGAGATGAAAGAGATATATAAGTCACTTTTTTGAAGCTATCGATTTGAAGTTATTGGTACAGTCTAATGAAGTAAATATGTTGAAGAAATTTGTTTCCCAAAATCATTGATTTGTATTACTATCGTTCACTTTCAATCGTTCACATGTGAAAACTAATTCATTTCATCGGAACCCAGTTTTCCATATAATTAGTAGCGAGGTTCTTTGCTTATTCGTTGAATTGAACGTGAGCGCCTTAATAAAGTTTCATTTGCAACTGACATCAAATCCGATTTACACGTAATGTAATATAATGCGGATTTGACAAGCTTGTCTTCTAACACGAATGAAAGATGTCGAATTCAATTACGTGACATACTGTACGTTAAACAGCATGCTTCGATGAGCAGGTATAAGCTCCGTGTGAACTGTATTCGTACGGAAAAAAGATGCGCTATTTTCCGAAGTTACGTCCAGGAGAATTTCCCTCACGGAAAAAATTGCTATGGTTGTTACTATAATATTCTCTATGTTTGGAAAAGAAATTTATGTGAATTTAAATTATATTGATAGATATGCTCATCTATACGGTTATTATAACGTAATTTTATCGATAAGTAATGTTCGATTGAAATATCCGAGTATATGGTTACCCCAACCGAATAATTATTGCTATCTCTCAATGTGGTTCCCAAAGTAAATAGTGTGTTTGAGAGATGTATAGGTATATCACAATACTGAAATTAACGGTTGCCGGCTATTACCAACTTGTTATAACTAATATTACCCCTCATGCTAAAACTCGCAAAGATCTGTGAAAATCTTTTCATTATAAATAAAGTGTTTTATTGTGCATATCCAAGAGCGCGTTCACACAGCCAGAATTCGTGCTAGTAGTTGACAATTTCGACTTTTTGTATTATTTATTACTGCCAATACGAGTTCTGATTGGCCAATGCTTTTCCGTTTCCTGCTTTTTCGTTAAAATGTATACGCGCCCTAACTGAAGATATAAAACTCCTATCGTGAATGAAGTTTGCGGGTTTTATCTTCAAAGCATATATAGGATTTGAGGCTTAATTCAGATTTTCAAAAGTAGAAAACGTTCAAAAGTATTTTTAAGTTACGATTGATGTTCAAGGTATCGATCATGTAATTTTTTCTTTAGAGCAGAAACGTGAAAAGTGAAATTGTTATATATGGATTGTTATATATGTATGTATGTACATATGACATACATACAAAAATTTTCAGGTTTTCGCCCTAAGAAAAAATTATACGATTAATAATCTGATCGCATATCGAAACCATAGCTAAATAATCATTATAATTATAACATCTATATAACAAATACCATTGCTAAAGAGCAGATAAATCACTTTCATAGTACTATAGTCCCTGTAATCCTTTTTGTATTGATGGACGAAAATTATCACAATTATTCGGTTGTAGCGAATACCATAACTTTTTCTCTGTACTGCATTGGAGAGTTTATAAGTAATTTCATAATGAAAGTTGTAATTTTTCCGCTGCAAATTGAGATCCATAAATAATACCTACGGATCTTCATTCCATATTCCATATAGTCCAATTAGTCACATATTTTATGTGTTGCATAATACGTGTATGAATATATGTATCCATATAAAATACATGTATCTATATATAAAATATGTATAGGTATATCACATATTATGTACATCAAAATGCAAATATACATATTAAGTAATAACATATTCGCAAAATTTTGTGCGATCTATAAAATTCGTATCAGATTTTGGATTAGAGTATTATTTACATTTCGCATACGTTCGCATACGTTCATTTTAATAAATATTATATATATA